TTTTTTTTTTTTTTTTTTTTTTTTTAATTACTCAAACAATTCTCAAAATTTTTTTTGTTTTGGTACTTATTCACAAATTCAACAAGCTTTAAAGAACATTACTGAACATTAGGGAGGGGGAGCTAAAATAAGTTAGAGCACACAGGGTTGCCATTTCTCATGCTAGGAATCACATCACCAACTATGAAAAAGCCAAGCAAGTGTAAGCTGAATGTCACAACAACTGGACATTTACTCAAGTGTCATGCAAGCAATTCTACAACAGTTGTAAATATTCGAGTATATACCTGTTTACCACAAGAGACTATTTTTCAATATTGATTCATGATCTATTTTACAGTTTAACAAATATTTAGCTTGAGAGTTGCACAATGGACTTAATGTAAAAGCATTTTCCCTTATGCACAAAAGCTTTTCCTTGATGCTTTCTGGAAAGTCAAGTCATCTGAAAGGCCTCCACAGAAACCAGGCTGCATACATTTGCTTCCTGAGGATCTTTCGTCTCAAGAATTTTTCATCCGCATGGATTAGTGCATACACTATTAAAGCTACCATAAGAAACAGATATACAAAGCAAGGATACAAAGAAAAAGGGGGGGGGGGGGGGCGGAAAAGTGTCCAAGCTAGCCTGGCTAAGAAAGTATGTCTATATGTGGACATAGTCTTTTCCTCAGAAGCCAGTCTGCAAGAGATATGTACAAGTCCAAAAAAGCATCAAAGTGAGAACATACAACTTGTAGGCTGTGTTACGCCGAAGTGCATCAAATTGCATTTCACCATAAAAACCACGATGAAAGTCATTTCCACCAATCATTTGATCAATTGAAAAAGCTGAATATATTACATGCACATTTTCTTAATGCGTCACAATGATCATGGGTAACCCATGTTAAAAATTCCAGAAGTTAGCCCTTGCATTCAGAAGTCGTTTGAAATTGCTTTAACATTGCAATAAGTGTTATACTCAAGGTTAGTGCAAAACTGGTAACCTTAGCCAGAAATTGAAAAAAAAAAAAGAAGTACAATAAGATTCTCATTAAGATCAAATGCTAAATCACAGATAGAAGGCAGATATATGTACTAAAAAAGTATTAGGAAATCTCCACTCTTGAATTGTTTATTGAGGCTCTCTAAACACTGTAATAAGAGCTGGGTATTAACCTCACTTTATTGGCCAAACCCCTCCAAAAGCCTGAGGAACTTCAGTTAAGCAATCTGTTTAAGACTACACAATAAAATGTAGAATTTGTGAAGACAGAACACCTGCCCAACCCCAAGTCCACTGAATTCACCAGTACTGTCCAAGGATTTATGGCAAAATAACTGAATTGATGTTATGCACTTTGAAGTCTCCCCCTCCCCCGCCCAAGTTTAAAGACTTCAGCATCTGTAACTGCTCATGAACAAATCCCACTTAAGCATATTCTATTCTTTTCTTTGATGTTACTAGCAATTCAGTAGTAACTTCCATCCCCTCCATTTGATTTGTTTTGTTTTTAGGTGTAAAAAACCAAACCCAAACACAAACAAAATCACTACTCCAGCTGTACAAGTAAAAAATTACACCTGTAGAACCCAACACGTAATTAGTGAAGTTGGCTAAATTTAAGAACTTTTGACCAAATCGTTTGTTGAAACTGAATCTGAAAATAGATACTGGTTTAAAAATCTCCTAATTGAAATTCTCAGAGGGAGAAAGTTTGGGGGGGAAAAAAAAAAGTGTCAAAATGTGATACTGAATACTTCTAAACTAAATTGCTTTGCCCGTGTCGGAGTGACTTTATATTACTTCAGTAAAAAAATTAAAGATTAAAACCAAAAATGTTACCAACCCAAAAATAAGTTTTTGGATTTTGAGCTTACCAAAAGTTTGAAGCAGGACCTTTTTAAAAAAAAATTCAGGGAGCTTTTCAAGCTTAAATTTCTGTAGGATAGAACTAGCTTTAGGAGGCACTGAAGAAGTGCATGCATGAAGAGTCATTTTCTAAAGGACAAAAAACACACATGGGCAAGACCGACTTTTCTTGCCCAGTATTATGCTCCATCTAGTTTAGTACTAAAAAAGGATTTTTACCTAACTGGAACAACAGATCTTCAGACAGCTTACCATAAGTGACAGTATCAGTAAAAGCTTCAGGTAAAACCTTCCACCATTCAGTGAAGCTTTATTATTGAAAATTAAGGTATCAGGGCCCTTCATTAAAATCGAGATTCCTGTTACAAAAGCTTCAAGGAAAAAAGAAATCCAAGTATTTAAAACCAAGAGGCCAAAGACTGGAAAAAACATTAATGGATATGCCAAAATGAAACCTAGATAATTAAAAAAGAAAAAGCATACACTATCTTGTACCTCAGAAGTAACCCAAAAATTTTTTTACAGTGTAGTAATACATTTGAATACAGGCAACAGTGCTGTTGTGTACTGCCCGTGTTGAAAGAGATGAAAAATATTGAACATGCTCTGTTTTAGGTTGAGGATTCATGCAGCTTCAAAAAAGAAAAAAAATCCTTTTGATGGTGACCTCTCTTCAGCTGCTGGGCCTAGGTGGGGTTTTCAGATTGCAGCACAACTATTAAGGGAAGGCCAAAGAAATATGCTGCCCCCACCTTTTTTTTTTTTTAATACCCAGCTAAGGTCACACTAGAGGTGGAAACAACATTTGGCTATATGTAATGAAACTAGACCTAGATGTTACAACAACAGTATTCAAGCGGATGGGGTACCTTTACAAGGCAACCTCTTTGCCACAGTAAAACCCATAAATATGAAACCAATCTTCTGGCCTAGATGTCAACATATTATAAACATTTTTACACTGATCCAAGATTAGCAGAAAAAGCATAAAGCACTTAAGCATGGTGGTACAAATCAGAGAAGATGTCAACACCTTCCTAAGGAAAAAATTTTGTACAGGCATGAATTGCCCAGGTATAAAAGGTTGTTTACTTATGGAGGTACAGCTGACTTGGGAAGCATTTCAACACAAAGGGTTTCTGGGGGAACTAAATATATACACCTCAAGCAGATTTCTGAGAGACAGGCATGCTGGAAGTAGTCGAATGTTGACTTCTCCATCCTTTAAGATGCAAAAGCTATCAACAGGTTTACTGGGGGAAGTACACTATACTTCTTAAGGGTATTGTAGGAAGGGATTTTTTTTATTTTTTTTTAAAACATATGGAAAAGGTGTGCGTTCAACTAAAACGCTACTCTGACAAAGCAAAGGTCAGCCTCCCCAAACTATAAAGCCCTAACTTTTAGGGGACATGATATGAAATAAGAGGTTTTACCTGCCTAATAGACTAGTATCAGAGAACAGTTACTCACTAGCATTCTAAATAGCAAAATGCAATCCTGCAGATCCCAATCCCCACAAAAGTTAGGATTATACTTTATACAGCATCTTGTGAAAAAAAAAACTTTTGAAACACTAAATCCATGATTTAAGCCTTACAACACCACTACGAGGTAGGGAATGAGCCTCATTTTACAGACGGCAGGTAACCCAGGCTCATATAGGAAGGCAGTGGCTGAACCCGCAAAGCCAGAATAACAACCTTCCAAAACCATTCCTGAAAGCCTTTAAAGAGTGGTTCTCAGCCTTTTCAGACTTTAGGTACCCCTCAAAGATGCCAGCTCTTAAAATTTTTACTCTATTACAGAACCAAAGCAATTCTTCTGTAGAAAGAACTCAGAAAGACCACCTCAGATTAGAATAGTTTTAATACTATACAATCCGATTTGAAGTATCCGGGTTTATCTTATAAGCGTGCTAACACAATTTAACAGTGCTAATAGTGTGTGGCACCCTTGCAAGGATCGAGACACCTTAAGGTGCCATGGCACTCATTGAGAAATCACTGCTTTAAAAAGATACTTTTCCATGAGTTTCACTATTAAACTGCTCTACTATAAAAGATACTTAGCTAGCTAGTAACAATGATCATTTAGCCAGACTGTCTTAAAGTGACACCTTGTTTAAAAACATTAAGGTTAAATCATTAGGATGGAAACGATTCCTCTTCATACCCTCTCCCCCGCCCCACAATTTTTAAATATACACACAATTGTGTAAGTTTTTATACTACTTTATAGGCACTAAAAAGTTCGATTGTAACAGTTGTACATCTTCAATTCCCCAAGCTTCTAGATATTAGAGATTAAAATTAAACATGCTGTGTCTCAACTGAGGAAGGCTGAAACCAAAGTGCCACTTGGTTATGACAAACATCATTTCTCACTGCTGTTGAAAGAGCCTGGAGAAGTAGTCACTAAAATCTGAAGAAGGTTTTACAATGCAATGCTTGACATTTCTTAAAGTGGCTTAATACATCCATAGTTTTGCACCAAGTTTGTAATTTGTACTACTATTTTTAAGCATGCAGAGCAGGCATTTACCAAACCCTGGAATTTCTTAAAATGTTTGTATCTAGTTAGGAAAAAAAAAAAAAAAAAAAAAAAAACCCCCCAAAAAAAAAAACCCAGGCCAAGGAA